TCTGGCCCCCCCTCCTCCCTCCCAGGGGCGTCTCCAGCTAATTTTAGATAAGTGATGTTGTTGGGCCTTTCTGTCCTCATTAAGCCGGCCGGGCTCCAACACATACACATGAATCATACGGCTTCATCACTAATTTAACGCAGTGGAATTTGTTTGCTGCTCTGCACACTAACATGCCGCCTCCAGATACAGTCTGTCTGCACGCACCACAGAAGAAGAAGCAGAGGCAACAGCTGGGCTCAACTCTTTATGTCAGCACAGCGAGGGAAACATTTGTCTGAAAATGTTATCTGGCACAGTGTGAGGATGAAACTAATGAAGAAATGGAGACGGAGCATGTTTCCAACACCACAGAGTGACATCTTTTTTTAAGTTTTAGTGAAGCCAGTCGGATCTGTCAAAAGTTAAAGCCACAAGGAACTCAAGACTACAACCACACAGAGGGGGGGGGGGGAATTATTAGCCCCAGTAGAGAAATAAAGCCTGTTTTAAACAGACTAAAAGCTGGATGTAACATTTACTACCCATAAAGATGACTATGGCTGCCATTTTACAAAAATATTAAAAACTGGTTCATGATAACGTTTTGTTATCGACTATATAAAGAATTTCTTTCATCCATCCATCCATTATCTAGACCGCTTTCCCCGTTTGGGGTCGTGTGGAGATGGAGCCAATCCCAACTGTCATTGGGCAAGAGGCAGGGTACACCCTGGACTGGTCACCTGTCAATCACATGGCACTCTCACATTCACACCCACGGGCAATTTAGAGTCACCTATTAAGCTTACGAGCATGTCTTTGGACTGTGGGAGGCACGGGGAGAACATGCAAATCAACACAGAAAGGCTCCTGTTCGACGGGGGTTCAAGCCAGGAACTTCCTTGCAGTGAGGCAACAACGCTAACCACTGCATCACAAAGCAGCCAGAACTGTTAATTTGCAATAATTGTTAATTTTAGCATTGATAGAGTGAGGAAAATGATGATGAGGTGGCATTTCTCCAAAATCACTTTGCATGTCAACACAGTGCTTTTTAAGTTAAAAGGTTCTGAGACACCGTGAACGGAGCAGTTTAATACATTCTTACATACATTCCAATTAGTAAGGGAGGTTTCACATTAGGGAGTCAGAGACTCGGATCCTAGTTGACCCCAAAGTCTGGTTCATTTGATCAGTGTGAACACAAAAGTCCCATTCTCGTACTGAACTCAATTTGCCGTGCCCGAGACCACATCTTCAAGGGGACTCACGAATTCATGTGTACTCGAGTACGGTCCGCAGGAGATGTGAACGCAACCGTGCCCAGATAAGGAAGTGGACCGCTTTATGACGTCATTCTAAACGGCAGGCGCTGGTGGCGCAGTGGTTTGTGCGCACGTGCCCAATGTATGGAGGCATTGCTCCTCCAAGCGGGCGGCCAAGGTTCGAATACCACCTGTGGCTCCTTTCCTGCATGTCATTCCCGAGTCTCTCTCCCTCATTTCCGACTCTATCCATTGTCCTGTCTCTCCATTAAAGGCACAAAAAGCCCAAAAATAAATCTTAAATTTTTTTTTTTTTAAAACCTTTGTATCCGCACAGCATGGGCCAGTTTACTCTGAGCTGCACGTTAGATGTGGACGTACAGAGAGGGTCGTTGTTGCAGTCTCAGAAATAACGAAAACATCCACAGTTAGCAGGATGGATTCAGCACGTGAGTGGTTGCAATGGCTACTTCTTCTTCTTTCTGCTGTTTGGCGAATTTGAAAATCAACTATGTGCGTACCGCTACCTGCTGTATCGGACTGTGTACATACACAAGTGTACTCGGGAACAGAGCAATGTTACTAATGTGAACGCAGACCAGCGGGGGAGAGGGGAGGGGGCGCAATCTTGCTTGGGCACGGTACCAAACAATTGTAACTAATGTGAACTAATGCTTTAAAATAAATATCACAGTTACAACATCAACATGTCCAAATCCTAATTTTTATCCCAGTTTTATCATTTTGAAAACTTGTTCATTTTAGGGGTTGAAATGTGATGGAATTGTTGATTGTTGCAGCATTTGTACAAACTAATTTTGAATGTAAATCTGGTCTCAATAAAGACGCTATTTCAGCCCATTTCATTGCTCATACAAAAATCATTTATACAACACTATACGAGCTGTGGGATCCGTAGAAATCGCAGAGAGAAGGTATAAACATTCACCAAAGAAGAAGAAAAAAGAAGACTGAGCATGTGCAGGTTATCAAGCCATACAGCTTTGCCTAATCAGAAAGACCCATGTGTGCTGAAGTAGTTATTTCATTCCTAACAGGAGTGAAGATGGTGAAAATGGTGGAGAGACACTGATGAGTTTGAAAGCAGGTCTACTGCCTGTATGACAGTGATGCACTGCTCACTTACAAATTCATTTTAGCTGCTACAAATGTGAGCTGCATCTTGAAAATCACCTTTTATGAATGCCTTAGTCCTGAACGTCTCTTCAATGGAAAAATGCTTGCTGGGATCACTCAGTCCACCAAGCTCCGTCTCTCAGCTCTTCTTTCTTACAGGTATCAATCAACTGCGTCATCATCTAGGTCATCCTGCCTTTGTTGTCAGAGCTTCATATCCTTAATACCTGCACATCAGCCGTCTTCTTTTTTAATCTTCTGCAAAACTGTCATTTAACCTTCTTTTTAACAGCACACAGCCTCAGACAAGTCAAGTTCTCATTATCATTATTTAAGTAACTTTTCATTACTTAAGCACCTGCACATGGTTGTTTGAGGCTACAATAGTTAACTCAGTTAGCATTACATGTCAGCCGTGACCAGGAAAAGAGATATCTGGAAGTACATTGACAGAAAAGACGATGGTACTGTGCAGTTCAAGGTGCGTGGCATTAAACTTGCATATCATGGAAATACTAGTTGATGATACCAGAGCGAAGAAGATTAGCCTGCTAATAACCCAAATGTTGACTGGATATATGCTCCCAATAAAATGTATTGAAGGCGAAGGCATCCATGAGCGGATGGTGTTTTTTGGAGTCGGAGCTAACTGAGGACTGAGTTGCATTGTGTGGACAAAGTGGCTGCTACTACGGACACGTGGACAAACAGACTTTCAACCGAATATCAACGTTGAAACCTGGTAAGTGCTCACTGGCTATGTGTACTTCAATAAGTTTCATGTTGGTCTGTAATAGACTTTCAGACAGTTGTGATCTTACAAAATAAAGCCGGTACGTTCATTTGTTAAACTCAATTCGAAGTTAAGACATCTGTCTGAATTTGTAAAGTGAGGCTCAAACATTAAAGAACAAGAGGAACACTATTATTTTTTTTTTAAAGATTTATTTTGGGCTTTTTGTGCCTTTAATGCAGAGAGGGGACATTGGATAGAGTCGGAAACCAGGGAGAGAGAGCGGGGAATGACATGTGGAAAGGGGCCACGGGTAGAAGTGAACCTGGGCCTACCACTCGAGACGAGAGTCTCAACACATGAGACGCGCGCCCTACCACTGCGCCACCAGCGCGCCCCGAGGAACACTATTTTTGCATGGAGTGAACTTTAAACTCGACAGAATAAAGTAATGAAACGTGTCATTTGGTGTTAAATATGGAGATGCACCAGTGCTGAGAATTGCATTGAATTTTCCACAGCTTAAACCACCATAACAGTATCTGAAAAATAACATTTTCTCAGTTACAAGTCAACCCTCAAAGTTCACAGTGTTTTACTACGACTGACAGCAGACTGGCAGTTAACATTCAGTCATGTTGTCAGAGCATCACCTCTCATTCATCTGTTTCTCTCAAGCAGGAAGCTTTAATCCAGAAACAAGATTAAGTAAGAGTGTGAAACAACCAGTGTTTCTCATCTGATCCGTCTGTCTTCTCTGATTTAAAGCTGCTGTTTCTCTCCACATCTGCATGGAGGCTGTCATGAAGACGAATCGTAGATTTAAAAGTGTGCAATCACCCAATTGGAGAGGCTCGATAAGAAAATGATCTTCCTCTCTGTGTGTAAAACTAGCCTAAAAGACTTAAACACTAGTTCAACAATTCAACTTTAGTCACGTTACTGAAGAGAATCACAATCACGTCAACAAACAAGTAAGAACACCATGAGAAGATATTGTCCCACAAACATACTGTATGAAAGGAGTTGATGGAGTGTCTGTAAAATCCTCTCTTTGTCTTGTGATCTGCTCTTGAAGACTCAAGTTCAAGTTGGGCACTTTAACCGTCGCCATCTTGGATGGGTAATTGTTTTTGGACATCTAGGATCCACCCTTTTGTCTAAATATGCCTTTATCCTTGTTTACAGGCTGCTCCAGTAGTGGCATACCCTGCCTTATACACCATCTTTCAGACATTTTCTAGTTTGGGATCTGTCCATCCATCCAGCCATCAATCAATCCATCTATCCATTCATCCACCTAAATAGGACCACCATCTACAAAATTGACATGATGCTGTGTTGACAAAGACTTGAAACCAGCTATCAAAACCATTGACTTCTTAAAAAATTGTTTACTGAGAAGCAGGCTCATTTTCTTAACTCTTTTCAAACAAAAACTTTTGCAAAAAGTGAAGTCGCCCCCTACTGGTCATTAGAATAATGCAGGCACTTCTTGCAGTGGCTATACTTATAAAACCAAGAGACTACATCAACTTCTTAAATCCAGTCCAGAAAATCTGCAATTGTGCCTCAAGGTTTTGTTATTTAGCAGGTTTTTCTCCATTTTAAACATTCAAAATTAGACTCTCTGTGTCCTTTTATCTTTGGACAGGATTAACTGATCAACTCCTGGGTACAATATCGTTATTTCAGAGCTGCTAAGAGATTTAATACCTTAAGACTCATCCTGTCAAGAAAACAATGGAGACAACAGAGAGAACTTTTAATTTTTAATCGCTTTGACAATGAATCCAATTGACCAAGGATTAGCTTCCCAGAGCAGTACAGCAGCAATCGCAGTGATTCAACAGCAGAAATATCATCTGTCAGCATTCTCTTACCTTAAACAGTCGTAAGATGTTGGCCACCATGATGGACACAGAGCTGGCCGATGCCCCGATGACACCCACCACTTTATCCGGCTTAGCAAAGATGGGCGGGTCTCCATTAGCACAGCGGACATCAGTGCTGTCCCTTTCGATAAGTGCCTGGACAAAGGTGAGCGACTGCTCCAGGGCGTAGGTGTCGCGAGAGCATGTGTCCAGGATGCGTGCACCAAGTGTCACGTTGGGCAGCAGCTCTGGGTCCTTGTTGATGAGGTCGATGGCAAATAGCATGGCCTCAAGCCTGTGGATGCCCTTCTCCTTCTTTAGCTCGCCACAGGGAACGCCCCTTTCGCCACGAGCATGCACAGGGAACAAGCCTCCCAGGATGATGTCACCGTCCAGCCGGACTGAATGGGCGTACTCTTGCTGTGGCTGCTGGGAGTCTGCAGGGACTGCAGGCTTTTGAGACGCCAAACCAAGCAGCCAGTAGCTCTTAAGCATCAGCAGCGATAGGAAGCAGTGGCTGGTGACCCTCGGGGCTTTCAAACCCCTCGCCATTCTTCGTGTAGGCGAGCAGACGAGAAAGAGAGCGGTGGTATGATTGAACAATCAACAGGCTGATTCCTGAAGCGGTGGTCGTGCGTGATGTGGCGAGGATAAGATGGGCCTGATCATGGAGTCCCCCGTCAACAAGGGCCTGGGAAATCCACAGGGAGGAGGCCTACCCAACCTGAACGCTGACCCGGGGGTTTCCTATGGTCCAGGTTCATTTGTCAGACATGTCTGAGGAGAGCTCCAGGGTCGCAGCAGCTTCACATTGTTCCACAAACCTGATGGAGATTCAGAGAAAATAATTAAAGCAATGCAATGCATCAGAGATCGCTCGAGCAGAAATTCTGACAACTGGGGAACAAGAAAATAACTGGGATGCTCACTGCACCAACATATTCTGAATTCCCAACTAGATGTTTCCAGTTATATTCATAAGGACACACTATTGAATACTTGCCTTATTAGACACGATATACTCTCAAAAGACACATATTTGACCTGTGCTCCCTGAAATATATTCATCATTCAGTTTGGACCAGTTCATTCCCAATGAATCAGTGGTTTCTTTCAGATAGGAAAATTATGAAAGGTAGATTTTAATGGCATCCAAACAGATTTCCTCTGTGTACAAGAACCTGACTGATTTTGTCTTTTCTTTTTTAAAGCCAATATGAAACAGATTTCAGAGAACAATTCAAATATGTTATATAGCTGAATATGAAAAATAATATGCGTAGATTTTTGCATTGCATTTTGACCAAACAGAACTTAGTTGCATGACTTATATACAGTATCACCAAGCTGAACCACTCAAATCAGAGCTGGCAACTTCAGTTTACACCACGATAATCCCAAACTTGCACAAACACACCAAATTTGTTTTTAGACAAACAAATATTGCAAGGCAAGAGGAGTAACCAAGTTTAGAGATGTTGTTTCGTAATACTAATTCACCTTTTCTTCAATAATAATAAAAGCTTCATACATAAATCACAGCAGCCAAGAGTGCACTTAAGGAGTGTTTGGGACAACGGTTAAGCTCCCAAGCGCTCTCTGAGGTCATTCTTAACTCGAAACAGCACTACAGTATATTTGTCTCAGGGGTTTGTTTCACATGACTAGTTTCAGATGAGCAAGAACAACGATTTAACTACCCCATTAATTTGGGACGTTGTGTAAAATGTAAATAAAACCACAACATGATATTTTGCAAAACACTAAAGGTGTGCCCTGTCTCTAAAAGGTCTCCTGGGTTTCCCTCATTCACTCTCTGACTCTCCGTTCCTTGAGCTGTCTGGCTCTGTTTCTGGCACTCAGGTTCTCTCTGGTATGGGGACTGGATCATACACAGCAGGCCTGACTTTGCTTGGTTTCCTCGGTTCCATTCAGCACATACACAGACACACTCATACATGCTCTACACTGCTGATAACACATTATGCTGAGTTACTGTGCCGTCATGACCACAAATTGCAGCCACCACCAATACCCACTGCATGTGACCTGATGTAATTGATTATACACCCAGATTCATTGTGTACTGCAAGCAACCAATTTGTCGCTTAAATGTCACATATTCACCTCCTCTTTAAGAAGTGTAAATAAGTCTCAGAGCTCCCCACAACATGTCTGTGAAGTTTCTTGTTCTAAATCCACTCTGATCCTGTATTTGATCATGCCTATAAACCCCTCTATTTCAGCCCTGCTCAGAACAGACTGTTTCTGTGTCTGTAGCTTTAAATGTAAATGAGCTGTAGCTGACCACACCCCCTCTCTGGAAGCGCTTGGTTGTCTCGCTCTTTCTCACTTCATGCCCTATTGTTTATGATGAGAAGGCAGACTCAGAGGGCAGAACAAACACCTAGCTGTGGGAGTGTCACCCACCTGGGGGAGGGGTTACCGCCATTTGTGATGTCATGAAGGGAAAATCTCCAAACGACCTGTTTGAGCACACATTTTCTGAAAAGTGGAGCAGGTAAAAGACGGAGAGGATGGACTTTTCTCATCATTGGGGGGTTTGTAGATGGACTAGGGACACATATTAGTGTTAGAAAAACATGGTGGAGTGTATTTTCCAATAAAATGTTTCCTGCAAAACATGTTAGTTAAAGTAAGTAAACAAGAAAGGCAATAACGCTATTAAAAGTAAACCTTATCAACAATATTCAACACTAAGCAAACAGTGCATGTTCTAAAGTGAGTAGAATTATTCAATAATTCATGTTCCTTAAACACCGACTTCGCAGTCTTTCAATGCAAAGTGTCACAGAGCTTGTATCAAAGACAAAATGTCAGACATTTGGTGACGTCGGACGCCTCAAATGTCACCGGTGCTTCGAAAGGCATTTCATCCACAGAGTGGGACTCAACTCAGGAGGAGATGCGACTGCATACAGGGAGGAAGTCTTAAGGCTGTGAGCATGGTGCGCAGAGAACAATCTCATTCTCAACACCTCCAAGACCAAAGAGCTGATCTTACATCTCAGGAAAAAACAAATCTGACATTCAGCCCATCAACATCAATGGGGACAGTGTAGAGAGGGTTTTCGGGCCCAGTTTCCTGAACACACACATTGATGAATTCCTGACCTGTAAAACAAACAGCAGAGACTGTGTTTCCTGAGAATTTTTCTGTTGGTGTCCTTCTATCGGTGCTCCACAGAGTCTGCAATGAGCTATGGCATATCGCTGTGGTTCACTTGTTGCTCTGTATCAGACAAGAAAGCGCTCCAGAGGGTCATTTACATAAATAAATAAATCATTGGATGCCCTCTTCTCGCCCTTGAGGACATTTACAGATTGCACTGCCTCAGGAGAGCCCACAGCATTCCCAGTGACTCATCCCACCCAGGACACCATCTTTTTGAACTGATAGTGTTGAAGGACTCTCAAATCAAAAACAGTTTTTACCCCATGACCATTATGGCACTAAATGCTGCTCCAATGTGACTGCCTTTTGAATGTTTCTCTCGCCTGAGCAATAGCACCTGAATTAGAAATACACTTTGAATGTGACATATATAAGTTATACTAGTTATTTTTATTCATATCACTACTTCATACCAACTGTGTGATCGGCACTTTGTTATATAAGAAGGGAGACGAATAACTAAGAAATATAACCATGCACATTCCTGGTCATAATCATTACATCTCTACCTGATACCAAGTCATACAGTAATGAACTTAAAGTACATTAAAGTCAAAAGACATGAGCACAAAATATTACTGATACCACACCACAAAATTTAATTAATGTTTGACATCTGGGGAAATATATGTAAAGGCTTTATGACAATGTAAGGTAATTTAATTAAAATATATTGCATCAAGGTATAAATATTTAATGCAATCTTAGCAAAGTATAAAGATAGATTTATTTAATTGTGCACAGACTTCATGGACATGTTAGACGAGAACTGTAAGTTTAAACACTACCAGATCACCATGTTTGCTGAATAAGACGCTTATAGGAGCAATGTGTAACTCTGACACCTAGTGTATTAAATGGGTACTACAGTCCAAATTCAAAACATTACAGAGAGTTGTCTCCCCCCGCCCCCTCCTCTCTAGAGTCGATGCTCACACAGGTTGCCATGTTGTGGACACTGAAGCTTCAGTGTTTAGCCAGCTCTGCATCGGTCTGTAAACCTTTCTGACCTCTCTCCATTTTTCAAAAGCATCTCCAATATTGATCCTAGTTTGAGCACGTTTCTGCTCGTGGAGCTTATTAGAAACATGCAGAGGCTTTTTAGGTCAGGGACAATCACTTCTATCTGAACTAGTTCTCTTGCCCGCTTCCATCACTGCAACACCTGTTGGTTTGACCTGATAACTGCTCTCATATCTGTCAAACCGAGGGGCGTCCAAAACGGCCATCCGGGGGTTCCTTAAAACGGCCTTCCTTGTCTGGTCCAAACAAATCCAGATCATTCGGGACCAGAATCTGAAGTTAGAAGGAGGACATACTGGCTGCTGCATTGTTGTCAGAGAAGCCAGTACTTCAATATAGCATGTTTCCTTAATGTCTGATCATATAGTAAGGTCACTTTATCATTTCACTCACTAGATATCTTACAGATTTGTCCTTTAAAGCTCTTTTTCAGCAACATCATGAGGCTTCATCACCAGTTGAATTAAAAGTTTGTGCTCAAACTATAAGTTTACCTGTTTGTGTTTTCTGCTCCATATTTGAGTCCTCTATTAACAAAAAGATGCACTGTTTAGTAAAGATGGCCTCTTGTATCCTTGGACCAGACCAACTGACTATATGTGAGGAGGGGTGCACCACCTGGAACCCTTGTTAAACCTGATTGTTAAAGACGCTGATGTAGATGGCTCCTCTTATTGGTCCTTTCAAATAGATTCCTGCTTCTGGATTGGATAATTGATGACATTAGCCTTTTTAAACCTCAGCTGACTGCTGCCCGCTCTTTCTTTAACCTGCTGCCACTTCCAACAAAGCCAGCATTAGGTCTGTGTATTAAAGATTGGAGCCCTTTGTAAGTTTTTTTTAATATTAGGTTTTTAAAAAGTTTTTTGTGTAAGTAATCAACTGTAACTATTGGGCACATACGTATAGCCGTTTGGTAGGAGTGCAACACCATTTTTTGTTTGCTGTGACTTCCCTGTTCTCTTATTTGTGTTGGTTACAAGCTCAGGTGAGAGATTAGTCATACATTTGTTCGTCATGTATAGGCTTGTTTGGCCATCTCTTGTTTGTTGTTTTTGACTCTGAACATCTTAGGTTGTAATTTCCATTTCAACTTAAGAAAACATTTATTTAACTTAACAACATGAAGTAATACAGTGTTTCTTTTGTTAAAGAGGACATATCATCCCCCTTTTCCACCTTTTGAAACTGTCCCCTGTGGCCTAAATGAAACATCTGTGCCGTGCTTTGGTCAAAATATAACATGAATCAAGCACCAGCATCTCTGGAGTTTGTAACTCTACAGTTGTGTCATTGGTCAAAAGTCGGGGGGCCTTCAGACTCAAATAATTTTACCCAAATGATCGGCAAATCGAGGGGACGTGCCCTGACACCTGTCACTTATTTACACTACAGAAGCCCAGTGCTGGGCTGAAACAAAAAAAGCCTACTTACAGATACTGCATGTTTTCTTGTTACCATTAGTCTCAGTTGCAAAGAAGACAAAAAAGAAAAAGATCCATCAAAATGTAAAACAATTTGTTGTAAGAATCATTTTTTCATTTTTATTGTCAAAGAAGAGGGCTTAACCCTGCTTTCCCATTTCTACCAGAAGTCACTTGGAATTATAGCCCCTTGGTCAGCTGGTAAGTTTAGCTATTGTGAGCATGTTAGCATGCAAAGTCAGCATTTATCTAAAACACTGCATGTTACAGGACAGTTTTTATTCTCACTTTTTAGCTGTGTTGATTGTTATTTTTGACTCTCGACTTACTTGCATCACGCAAGGATAATGTTGAGCAGCAGGACTTCCAAACTGTCGCTGATTAAAGGACTTTTTGAAGCTCTGGTGACATGGAAAATTTGGACGTCACCAGTCATTTTTATACCAGGTGACAAGGGAGTAGCAGAGAGATCTCCCATGATTCCCCGCCAGCCATCTAGTGGATTTTACAGATGATGATTAGACTTTTGTCTGATCTTAATTTCGTCACTTTGTTTTCTTTGCTTTCATTTTCAGATAATATAAGATAAGTCCGATAAGATTTAAAGCTGTTCCTTTGCACTTACAGATCCTTGTTTATGTTGTACTTACTCTCTGATGCTCATCGCTCTGGATAAAAGTCTCTGCTGAATGTAGATAACCAGAAAGAATGCAGATATATGCACTTTTGAATCCTCTTCATTGTGTGATTATAAGGAGTTAGTTCAGCAAGATACCATCCAGCCAGGTGCTGGTGTACAGAATACTCACTAAAAAGCAGTCAAAAACATGATGGGAAAAATAAAAAAAATATTTACTTGATGTAGAGAAAGCTATGGTGATGGTTTTGATGCTTGAGCTGACTCCAAGTCACGTGCTTAACAATAATCAAAGTCAAGATTTGACTGGTAAACTCTAATTTTATTACTGGCTTTGACACATTTTGATTTCATCCACAAACCAGCTTTTACACTTTAGCCAAGTCTAAAATCAGGTTTGGGATAATGCATATTTTTTCCATTTCATGTGGTCGATTCTATTTGTGCGGAATGCGCACTAAAGCAGGTGCATGGAAATGCGACCTTTATTCTTATTTAAATTATTTAACCACTTTCTTTAATGTCCTGCTTTCATAAATATTTGTACCCCTGTCTTTTCAATATGGCCAATAGGTTATAACACACACACACACACACACACACACACACCTCCGGCAAAACTAACTGTTAACAACGCCTCGCGCGCACACATCAGCGAGCCACACGCTTAAAATGAAATACACGCTCACACAAAACACGCGTGGACTCAAAAACACTAAAGTGCGCGCGACTGAGGTAATTCACATGAGCATAAGTTGATTGAGCTGAAAAAGAAAATCTTGAATCTGATCCGAATGCAGCTGAAACACAAAATCTGAACCCTTCCATCCAGAAGTCTGACTGATTGATTACCAGCCCGCAGATCGATACAATAATGATTCGATGGATTTGACAGGTGGATTCACGGAGAGATAAGACAGTGAGAGTTTTCCCATCCCATGACGACTATAAAATCATCGACGAGTTAATGATGATATCCCACAATCAGCTCTTTTAATAACGATTTATGTTATTAGTCAATGCTGTGATGCGTGAAGGTACCTTTTCTCTCTCCGCAGTTGGAGCAGGTGTTTCCTCTCTGTCGGTGTCACAGGTCAAACAGATGTTTTCTGTCTCCAGCTGTTTGTCACATCACTGACACATTTTCCTCCGCTGGGACTCGATCCAGCTCCACATCAGCATCCATTAAAACATTAAAAGATCAATTATATCCAAATCCACTTTTTCAGTTCGTGCAGCGACAGATTAGAGCTGCTCCTGATTCTCACAGACAAGCGGCAAATTCCTCCTAACAGCAGCTCTCTGACGCTCCGGCTCACCTGCAGGTGTCGGTTCGACTACGCGGATCTCCTCTCTGGGATCAGTGTGCCAGACTGGTCACCACAGTGAAGGCATGTTCACGTCAGCGCTGAGTGTTTACACATCGCAGAAGTCAGTGACGCGCTTTATTGGCTTCTCGCAATAAGCGTGCGCGGTAAGGTGCGGTGCGGTAAGGTGCGGTGCGGTGCGGCTGTCCTGCGTCACGGTAAACACGAAAGGTCCCCGCGTTCATCACACCAGTGGAGTCCAGCCTGAGAGGTGTCCGAGGAGCCCCTCAAGTTCTCCGGTCACAGGTCCGAGCAGGAGCAACATGATCCGGGTCCTGATGGAGAGGGGAAAAGTGCGCCCAGACGAACACGTGAAACCACTGAGGAAGCGCGCGTGAGTGTGCGGCTCGTGCGTTAACAGCTGAAGTTTAATGAGCTTCAATAAATAGAGAGAGAGAGAGAGAGGAGCGTCTGAGAGTAAGAGCACCGGAGATGGAGGCAGGACGCCACCCAGTGCACAAACACAAAAACTACACACAATCAGCAGCTGGGGTTCTTCTTCGTGACTGCTTAAGATTCTTCCAAATTTTTGGACACACACACACACAGGGATGTGAACTGACACACACTGAACCATTATCACCGCTGTGCCTTTTTTATTAGTATACTGTAGGCCTGTTGATTTGTAAAGGACATTTCAAGGCACAACATAAAGCAGTCCATCCTAACCGATGTGCCTGCTATGTGCAATATTTCAGTGAGTATATTTCTATTACATACTGTATGTATAAGGGAGTGTCTTTAATGCTAGGCCATTGAACCTCTAGCTATAGTGGATCCAAAAGCAATTTAACATTTATTGAGTACGACGAGGTCAAGGTGGTTGGATAGATGAAGAATTTTCTGTGCAATCAATAGAAATAAATCATTACATTGCCACATAAACTTCAACAAAGGTCAAATTTAAAAAAAGGGCAGAAACTAAGTTACATCATACTGTATGCATCTGTAAGGTTAAATATGGAAACAGGGGCTTCTTTAGGTCCCTGTTACAAACATTTTATTAGCAAGGACCACGCAACAACAATATTTTTTCAAACATTCAATGTGAATTTCTATGATATATTGAGACAGATGTATGTAGGTGTATAAGAACGGATGTAGGATGGCCGTCGTCTTTAAGGCTGGTCTGGGAGGTTGATCAGAGATCGGGCGAAAGGGAGACTCGGAGTCGGGGTTCAGTCTCTGGCATTAATCTACCCGAACTGATTACGGCCCAGATTGTACCTGAAATGAGAGCGACATGGGAGAGGCCTGTGCCAAGTTTAACAGGAAGGGATGAGGAAGGGAGGTGAATGGATGAGAAGGAGGGAAGGGAGGGTGGGTTGAAGGAAATGAGACAAACAGAGTGTGGCGAGGTGACCAAGTTCTTGTCAGGTAATTGGAGGTCCTGCTCCCGTAAGTGAATGCATTAACACCATTTGTCTGCTTCAGTGTCCCTCTACGTTGTGTATATAGACCATATACAGACTTTAGTTTTTGGAGTGCAGCGGCATCATGATCACAGACATAGGGAGTAAAATGGCCACACCCGGCCCTTATGCTGCATTCCTCACTTCTTCATGGTGGGAGAGACGGGAGAAAGACTGACAGAGGCTGCTCCCCGATGCTCCTCTTGTCTTTGGTAAGGTTTTCAACACAACACCCCTTACTCGTCATACTTTCACTCCTCCATACACCCTAACCCAACCGATTAACTGACTCCACACCTCATAATGTTTGCTGGCTTGGTTCAGTATTGTAGTGGTGAATGAATGTAGGAGATTGAGAGAAACTCCTTGTCTCCTCCCGTCATTTGAGCCGGCTGTGACAGTGAATGAAAAACACAAAGTTTTTTTTGTGATCCTAACTTTCAATAAGTAAATAATAAACATGACAGCAAGTCATTAGCCTAGACATACATAAGTATAAGTCTGTGGGTGAACTATTATGAAATCTGTAATGAGCGTACAAATATAATTTAATATTTAAATGACAAAGAAGCTGAAGAACAGAGAAGAAGAAAGGAGGAAAAGCCACTGAGACATGAGTTATAGATGAATAAAAAACAAGTAAAATAATACTAATTATTCAAATTGTTTTAGGGCATTTCATGGGACCCTATACACCTAATGGTTTTGCTGACACTGATTGCACTTGTGTTACAGCCCTAGACTGTAAATAGCACTGTGGCAATGCCTGATAATAAAAACAACATGTAAAGTTATGTCACCAGTCCTGATTCTCCTCAAGTTTTTTCGGTCTGATTGACACTGACGCTAAATCCCTGAGTATAATCTGAGGCTAGCTGTTATTGCCTTCGGTTGAACATTAACAAGACAGTCATAGTTTGGTGTTTAACTCATGATTGTGGCTCAGAATAAAATGGGTGCATGTAGTTTTTATTTCAAAGACACATTTCTATGGTATGATAGTTGAATGAATGGTCAAACAGATGTAAAATAAACAGTACTCACCGGTGTTAAACTGAAAATCTGCAGTCAATTTCAATAATGTGATGTTGAAGCTTCAGTGTTGCTCCTCCTCTCAGTGTCACTTAAGGAGGGTTTAATGCGTCTTTGGAAAACACATGACAAAGCTACAAATAGCTTTCGTACAGCATGAGTGTTTTCTTATAGTTTATTGTCAGTATTTGTACAAACAAAGTATACAGCAGCAGAAAAAAACACAATCAGTACGACACACAGATGTATGAATATGAATGCAAGATCTATAGGTTATAGGAGGGTCGTGATTTCTACTGTCAGAATTATTCACGTCTCAACTTGTATACTTAGCAGAACTCGTAAGTCACGTTTCTACAGGTTGTAGCTGTACGCAGAAAAAAAACAGTCACCTCAATTAGTCATCAGAGAGAAACAGACTTTTTTTAACAGCAGCCCTGTTCTCACTAAGACTGACTTTCACTCTCACTGGAAGTAATCTGATATCAAAGCTCCTCCTTCAGTGTAGCTCCTCCTTCAGTGTAGCTCCTCCTTCAGTGTAGCTCCTCCTCCTCCTCTCCCACAGTATTAAGGAAAAAACAACACATTTTGGCCATTTTTACACTTTATTCGTTTTACACTGTCAGGGACCTCTTTAGCATGTGGAAGATCAATACGCAGCAAAAACAGCTTGGCACCTCCCCCTCATGCTGGTCACCAGCCTGGTCACATTTTGCTGTGGGATGGCCTCCCATTCCTCAACCAGGAGTTGTTGAAGGTCAACCAATGTGGTTGTGTTGGTCAAGTGCTGTCAATTAGGTGCCAATTGCTCATTCCATACATGGTCCTTACAAGTTATACCTCGTTGTAAAGGTGACTAATCGGGCTTTCCAATGATATATAATACAACACCAATTAGTATTATTAAAGGGTCAAAATAATTGACCAAAATAATGTTTCCAAACTTTTTTTGAGGAGTTTAGTTTCATTTGTTAACTAGGATTTTGTGTTGGTGTAAAATAAGCTTGTTTAGTTTAATTGAGTATCCACTTCAAGTTGTTAGTTTTCTAAATTCCCCATCTTTTTTCTTCATTCCCGATTTTTAATTATTGTTGCTCCCCTCGTCCACCATTTCCGTGAAACGTAAACATTCTACGAGAGAAAATAAACAGCAGCTCAGCAGCCAAGAGAAAATAAAATTATGAATAGAAAACATAAGAAAAGGGACAGATTGACTGATATGTTAATAAAAAAGAGGATACAAAGATAACTGACAAAAAGAAATAAACAATCTGAAAGTTAACCTGAACAAAAGTAACTGTTTTTCGAAGTGAGGGTCCCAACTCGCAGTCCCACGGGGGTGACCAGGGGGCACTAGGGGAAACTTGGAGGGAGGGAAATGGAACAAAAACCACATAATTTAGATCATATCACCACTATTAGTTTTCTTTTTTATGCCAATCTTTCAAATTAAAAAGACACCACTCTAGCCAATCAGAACGCAGCAGTCACTATGAGTGACACTGACTTATCAGAAAGTCGCTGTACCACTAACTAGCTACATACCCCCCTAAATTGAATGGACATTTGTTAATAAAAAAATCTGAAAAAAAATGATGAAGTTGCATTTTGTTTATATTTGAGAGTTAAAGAGATCGTGCAAGAGTGGGGTCCCCACCAGAAGCTAAGGCTATACGGGGGTCTTTGGCATGGCAACATTTGGGAACCTTTGAGCTACAATATTCAACATGAAGCAAACATGTTTAAAAGGAGAAGGATATCAGCTAAACCATCTATAACTGAAGAATCCACCCAGTGTCAATACACGAGAAAACTACATACATGTGAGTGTTTGAATAAATATACAAATACATAAATCCCCAACCAGGCCCGGCATGTAGCTATCCCAGGACTCGAGTCTTTGAGGTTCAGGTTGTGTAGAAACTACATCGTCTAAGGTGTCTTTAAGTGATAAGTAGACACTAAACTTTTTCATAATGCATGTAAAATACAAAAACATACTTTTTTACTTCTCACAACGGCCTAGGACAAACTCACAGAACAAACTCTGTCATCGGTGACGCGTTTTGATTGTGGGCTAGTGCACGCAAGGGGAAGAATGAGCAGGGAGACAGGGAGGGGTGATTAGTTCATCAAATTGGTACCTTTTTGCACACATTGGTTGAAGTTTTTACATTTTTTTTACTGCTACAGATGACGGATTTCTTTGCTCCTTTTTCAGAGCACATTAATTTCTGTCAGGACCTAAAGACAATTTCAACCAACATCTTAATAAGTGTCTCTAGAGAAAATTACCAACCCTGCCTTTAATGTGTGCTTTGCATTAAATGAGAAGTACATTTTCAATAGAAATACCTTTAATTAAAAAATTACTTCAGGATTAAAATCTAGATTACTGTGCACAAACAATGAGATAAAGCTGGTTTATTGAGGGCCTCACCCGGGGCATCAATTATGTTGGGGTTTTGCAGAGCTCACACACGGGCAACAATTATGTTGGAGTTTTATGTAGTCAATTAAGGAAGATTGGCAGCGAAGGCAGACACTAGTCTTGATGCCGACGAGGGTGACGAACAGGCCGCCAGGCTTTGAGCTAGACGTGACATTGAAATAAAAACAAAAAGTTTTTTTCTGATCCTAACTTTTATTTTTTAATCATTAAATATTAAATATGACAGCAAATAATTAGCCTTGACACAGCTATAATTCTGTAGATAAACTATGAAATTAGTCATGATTGTACAAATATAATTTAACGTTTAAATGACAAAGAAGCTGAGAACAGTGAAGAAGAAAGGACGAAAAAAGGTCTGGTATACTTGAGTCCGATCTAACCACACTGCAGGACTTTAGAGCAGCGGGATCTTAAAATCTGATGGAGTTCTTAAAGGGATATTCACCCGTTGAAACATGAATCTGTATTGACATTGGGTCATATATGTAGTAGAAATGTGAAATCAATTTTGAAGTTGGTGCCTTCTTGGCCAAGAAAAGGCAGAAAGTGTCTTTTTGTCTCTTCTCCTCAACAAGAACCCACTAAGATACCCTGCCAGTTGTCCGTTTTGGAGTGCAAAGAAAGACCTGGCGCTGCCTGTCGAGGAACCAAAATTCAACGGTAACTAAGCATGAAATTTAACTCAGTACATGCACTCATAAATTGTACTTAAAGGGATACTTCACCCGTTGAAACATGAATCTGTATTGACATTGGTTCATATATGTAGTAGCTTCTTGGCCGTGAAAAGGCAGAAAGTTTATTTTTGAATCATGTGGATGAAAGACACCAAATCCCAGAATGCACAGCACCACAGGCCACTCCCACCAAGGTCCTCTAGTTCGGAATCAGAAATACTTTGTTAATCCCAGAGGGAAATTTGATAGTTACAGTTTCTCCAAAATATACAATATAGCAGTAGAAATATAGTAATAAAAACATTTACAGACATATTTACTTCAACACGAGGCCTTTTCCTTAACTGATTCCGAGATTTCTTCCAGAATTGATCTTGAAAGTTCCTGGCAGAAAACAGACTCTATGTCTGTGTCCATAGGAAAACAGTGAGAGCTGCGACACTACCAGTCCGCCCCAGCTCCAGCCGGCCCCGGCTCCTCGTCCTCACAGCCAGCAATATAGTTGCGAGTCGGTTGCTGGCGACAGGCCGGTTTTCTTACTGGCTGCTGCGGCCAGCAGCGGCCCTGCCGGCCGCAGCAGCCTAGACACAAGACCAACCTGTCGGCAGCAACCGTCTTGCTGCTGTATTTATATTTTTTTTGCCATTATCAGCTTTCTCCATAGAGCCTGTTAGCATATCTTCCAAGCAATATGGGGGACGTTAAGTTTCGATTCTGGGAGTGAGTTCCCACCCACTGATCTGTGATTGGTCTGTAGCTTCAGTGGTCGAAGAAAAGGGAGGAACTAGCATTGTAGTTTCCCCCCGCTAAACGCAACAACTTCCGATGATGCAAAATGACGATTTTTGCATCACTGGAAGCTCCTTTTCAGACTTAGAAATACAAAGATTTCCCATCTCAGGGGAAAATGAGGACGGGATGCACAACCATTAAAAAATACTACCACGTTTCTAATGATACAAAGCTTAATGCAAATGGGTGAAGTATCCCTTTAATCACAGGATCGTAACAATCCTCACCTGTTTTTATTTGTAGTTTGATTTGGAGCGAGAGAAAGAAAATAAACTTTACATACTTTTATTGATTTAACAACACAGGAGAAAAGTCAAATACCTTTGTGCCGACATTCAGCACTCCTTCAAAAAAATCTTGATTTGACACAAAGACGTTTAAGAAAAGTTCAGAAAGTGAGAGTAAATGTTGATTCTGACTTCAGTGTTTGAGACTATTTCCCTCATGTCAACTGTATACAAAGTCCTTCATGATGATTCTCGCTGCATATTGTTTGTATGTTTGTTAACAGCTGAGCCAAAGTGTTGTATAAAAATCTCTCTGCTTAACAAAGATAATTTTTACTGACCAGAACAGTCAAATTCTGACATTATCTCTGACATGAACCTGATGAAACTCAATGGTTGCCCTATTCAGTTTGATTGACAGGAGAGATGATCAGAGGGGCAGAGTTTTTACCACCACTGTTAGGAAAGGGACAAAAGTATGGGTAGAGCTTCTCAGTGAAGGAGCAGCCAGTGAAGGAGTAGATCAGAGCTGCAGCATCGACGTCATAAAAGGAGACCAGACCCTCCTCATAATCCACAAACACCCCCACCTTCTTAGGACCGGACTTCAGAGAGAGACGAACTCCTGGGCCAACACCAGCTTTGAACTCATTTTCATTCCTCAAACATATCGTCCACAAACCTTTCTGAGGACACAGAGCGATTTCTCCTTTTCTGTCGATCGACCCTCTGGCCACTCCTAAATTCCACTCAATCTTCCCTTTAACCTGAACCTCGTAGTAAAATCTGCCGGAAGAGAAACTCTGCTTTGATAAAACAATACTATACTTAGTAAATCTCCCTGGAGTGTCTGGGAGAATCTTCTTTGCATCACCATATTTAACTTGTTTTCCATCATTAGACAGGATGAGATAGGGATTTGCTGTATCAGGATCGAGTGTCACATCCACCTCATACTGCTGGACCCTCTTCACCTCCACCTTGTAGAGCCGCTTCATCTGTTCACTGATAGTCACCTCCAGCTGGCTCACAGCTCTCACCACAGTCCCCTTATATGAAGGTGGATGGACTCTGACTTCAGTCCAGTTCTTGGTGTATGGAGCAGCGTTCAGTGATGTGAAGTTTTGGAGAAGGTGGAGGTGGTCTCTAGAGCCTGAGAGCTGCTTCACCTCAGTGCTACTCTTCTCCAGCTCAGAGATTTCCTGTTCCAGCTCTTTGATAAAGCCTTCTGCCTGTTTCTCTGTCTTCCTCTGCTTCTCTTTGATTGTGTCAAGGAGCTTGTTTAGGTTTCTCTGCACAGTCTCCATTAAAGCAGTGAAGACCTGAACACCTTCTGTGGTCTCTCTCTCTGCATTCTTATCACTGAGCTCCACTGAATGTTTGATCTCCTGAATCTTCTGTCGTCTCTTCTGGATCATCTGCTGAATTTCAGCCTCTGTCTTCCCCAGCTTGGCCTTCTTTCCTTTATATTCTTCTTTCAGAGGAACAACATCATGTTTCTTGTGGTCTTCAATTGTGCACAGCATGCAGACACACATCTGGTCGTTCTTACAGAACAGCTCCAGCAGTTTGTCGTGCTTCTCACACATCCGGCTTTCCAGGTTCTCCACGGGGGCGATCAGCTGATGTCTTTTCAGACCTGACATTGTCAGATGAGGCTCCAGGTGAGCCTCACAGTAAGAAACCAGACACACCAGGCAGGACTTCTGGGCCTTCAGTACGGTTCCAGTGCAGACGTCACAGGGAACTTTTCCTGGTTTGCAGCTTGCTTTCTGTTGAGCTGACTGTCTGAACTGAGCAGCCATCACAGAGATGAAACTGAGAAAGACAACAAAAGCAAACATGAAGTTGAATCTGCATCTGTCCAGAATCTGATGTTCTAAGACATTAGCAGTCAGGGTCTACAGTGTGCTGGGAGTGATGGAAAGTCCAGACAAAATGACCGGGGAAGAGTGGAAGTTGTTACAGGTAGAAATATTTCTGGAGGAATGAGAGCAAAGTGGTGGAGCTGGTAATGAGGAATTTAAACGAGTCGTTTCTACCAGACTACATAGCTCAGTAAACTATAGTGTGGTGTTGTAGAATAGAATAGTATAAGAATAATATAAGTAAAGACAGCATACACTTAACTTAAAAACACTAAATAATTTATTTTAGGTAAAAATGATCAACACAGGAGTGAAGAGAGGGCTTATAAAAGATCCATCCTGTTAGGTTGTAATACAGGACGGTTCTTATTAGAGCTGGGACGATATGCCTTTGTGGTAATTTGATTTTAGCAGATTAGCAGATTTGATTCATATTGCGATTCTAAAGTATTGCGATTCGATGTGAACACTGAAAAAAAGACGCTGAGTATAGGACCCACACACTGCTGATTTCACTCTTTGCTCGTTGGGAAATATGCTCTGCAATAAGATAAACGGACTAGCAAGCTAGTGGCAAGCGGGGCTAACTTATATCAACAATCAAGTCATCGGCTCTCTGCTTCAAACACATGTACTAAACATGATGTTTTGATTTTATTTCTTAAAAAACTGAGTGTTCATTACCTGACCTCAGATGCTGATTAGCGAGCTACCCTAGTGGCTCCAGAGAGACAGTTGTATGAAACTGAACACAGACATGACTTCTTTCAGTTAGGATAGAACATTTTCACATTAATAAAACGTTCTTGTTTATAAGTTGGTTGAGTCTGAGAGAGGAGTTGTAGCTATGCTGATAACCTGAAAGACTCTGAGCTACTTTGAAACCAAGGTGTGCATTGACTGCTCCTTTACACTTTAACAAGCTCTCAGCTCAGGTCTTTTGTTCTTCTGTATACGGATATGACATCACTATGATCGATCCCAGGGGAACCAAACGATTTTTTGAATAGTTCAATAATAAAAACGCGAGACTTTGGTGAATCAGTTAATTATCCCAGCTCTAGTTCTTATGATGATAGATGGTTAAACTCACTTTGTAGTTTGTGGGGTATACAGTTAAATTCATATCTAACATTTATTGTGATTTATCACGACTGTTTGAGCTTGATTATGATTGAATAAGCAGCTTCAGGTGATCATCAAGCACAATTCAAGGTAACATATTGTTCAAAATACACTCCACCATGTTTTTCTAACATTAACATGTGTCCCTAGTCTGTCTCCAAACCCCCAAATGATGAGAAAAGTCCATCCTCTCCTTCTATTGCCTGCTCCACTTTTCAGAAAATGTGTGCTCAAACAGGCCGTTTGGAGATGATCCCTTCATGACATCACAAAGGGAAGTAACCCCTCCCCCAGGTGGGTGACACTCCCACAGCTAAGTGTTTGTTCTGCCCTCTGAATCTGCCTTCTCACCGCAAACAATAGGAGCGAGAAAGCCCGAGACACTGCAGCTCATTTACATTTAAAGCTACAGACAGAGAAACAGCCTGTTCTGAGCAGGGCTGGAACAGAGGGGTTTATAGGCATGATCAAATACAGGATCAGAGTGGATTTAGAACAAGAAACTTCACACACGTGTTTTGGGGAGCTATGAGACTTATTTGAACTTGCTGAAAAGGAGGATAATACATTTAAAAAGGATATATTATACCCCTTTTCCACCTTTTGAAGTCCCCTGTGGTCTACATAAAACATATGTGCTGTGCTTTCGACAAAATATGGCATAAATCAAGCACCAGAAAGGGTTTGTGGCCCTCTGAAAACACTCATGCTGTACAATAGCTATTTGTAGCTTTGTCATGTGTTTTCCCAAGTCGCATTAAACCCTCCCTTAAAGTGACACTGAGAGGAGGAGCAACACTGAAGCTTCAACATCACATTATCTGATATTAAAGTAACAGTTTATTTGAGCCACAGCAGAGCTGCAGTCTAGAAAAGTCTTTCTGTCTCTCTCCAAAGACAAATCTGACCCAATTCATCAAGTTTTTCTCAAGTTAACTGCAGATTTTCAGTTTAACACCGGTGAGTACTGTTTATTTTACATCCATTCATTCAACTATCATACCATAGAACTGTGTCTTTAAAATAAAAACTACATGCATCCTACCTTTTCTTCTGTGCTACAATCATGAGTTAAACACCAAATTTAAGTGTTAATGTCCAACTGAAGGCAATAACAGCTAGCCTCAGATTATACTCAGGGATTTACCTTCTCTCTCAGTTTCCCACTTGTTAGGATGTTATTAGTCAGTGTCAATCACACAGAAAACAGTCGAGGAGAATCGGGGTTGGTGACATAACTTCAAAGTTGTTGTTTTTATGGTCAGGAATTCACCTCAGTCCTGTAAAACAAGTGTAGTCCGTCGCGGACTAAACCATTAGGCATAGGGTCCCATGAAATGCCCTAAAAAATCAAGTTGAAGAATTAGTATCATTGCTAATTTGTCTTAACTTTGTGGTTAGTTATTATGTTTTTTCTAATGAACCCATACGCAAAAATGTAATCAGAAGAATGGCTTATTCATCTATAACTCATGTCTCAGGGCCCCCTCCCCCCTCCGACTGCATACATGGACTGTTCCGTGAAGCACAGCGCGTTAGAGGGAGTGATTTACGCTGCAAACACGGGCGAAAGAGTGAGAAGATAGTAATTTAGAAACAACCCATTATGAAGCGAAGCTTATCTAAGAGTGCAGAAAAAATAGATGTAGCGAGAGGAAAAAGAGATGCTGTTGTTTAAGTTGACAAAAGTTATCACGTTGTTTACAAAAGTAGTCTACCGGCGTCACTGTGCTGCCACGAAGTCCCGTGACGTCATTAACACAATCTTACATAGCCTGTTGCTGCAGGTGGAGATGGTGAAATAAAGAAACATACCGAGACAAAGAGAGAGACAGAGAAGGTACAGAGAAAAACACAGATAGAAACAGAGGAAATAAAGAATTAAAAGTTATTCGGCTGCCTCACTTCAGCTGTTTCAGCCCGAAAAAGGAACTGGTTTTCTTTTGATAAACAGGAATTAAGTTCGCCGAAATAACAACATCATTGTGCAGATTTGTAGGAAATTCAAAAGTCAAGCTTTGTCAAGTCTGTCCTCAAGATGAGAAGGAAACAGCTTTTAAAATGCTTGTTTGTTTTTTTTATCGATCGCTCCTGATGCGTTTAGGATCGCAGGAAATCTAAACTCTCATCGTGTTTAGGGACAGAAACAGATGATGAAGAGGAATACAGGGACAGAAACAGAGATGATGAAGAGGAATACTGGGACAGAAACAGAGAGGATGAAGAGGAATACTGGGGCAGAAACAGATGATAAAGAGGAATACAGGGACAGAAACATGATGAAGAGGAATACTGGGACAGAAACAGATGATGAAGAGGAATACTGGGGCAGAAACAGATGATAAAGAGGAATACAGGGACAGAAACAGATGATGAAGAGGAATACTGGGACAGAAACAGATGATGAAGAGGAATACTGAGACAGAAACAGATGATGAAGAGGAATACAGGGACAGAAACAGAGATGATGAAGAGGAATACAGGGACAGAAACATGATGAAGAGGAATACTGGGACAGAAACAGATGATGAAGAGGAATACTGGGACAGAAACAGATGATGAAGAGGAATACTGGGACAGAAACAGATGATGAAGAGGAATACAGGGACAGAAACATGATGAAGAGGAATACTGGGACAGAAACAGAGATGATGAAGAGGAATACAGGGACAGAAACATGATGAAGAGGAATACTGGGACAGAAACAGATGATGAAGAGGAATACAGGGACAGAAACAGAGATGATGAAGAGGAATACAGGGACAGAAACATGATGAAGAGGAATACTGGGACAGAAACAGAGATGATGAAGAGGAATACAGGGACAGAAACATGATGAAGAGGAATACTGGGACAGAAACAGATGATGAAGAGGAATACAGGGACAGAAACAGATGATGAAGAGGAATACAGGGACAGAAACAGATGATGAAGAGGAATACTAGGACAGAAACAGAGATGATGAAGAGGAATACAGGGACAGAAACATGATGAAGAGGAATACTGGGACAGAAACAGATGATGAAGAGGAATACTGGGACAGAAACAGAGATGATGAAGAGGAATACAGGGACAGAAACATGATGAAGAGGAATACAGGGACAGAAACATGATGAAGAGGAATACTGGGACAGAAACATGATGAAGAGGAATACTGGGACAGAAACAGATGATGAAGAGGAATACAGGGACAGAAACAGAGGATGAAGAGGAATACAGGGACAGAAACATGATGAAGAGGAATACTGGGACAGAAACAGATGATGAAGAGGAATACAGGCGAAGGCAGAGAAAGGGTATTTGTGTTTGACTATAGTAGGCTATGTGTATTAGTATTGTGTCTCTACCCGTAATAACAACAGATTAAAACACAAATTGTGCAAATTGTTTGGCTCACGATTCGGTTAGTTTCGATATTGATCAATATAGTTTGATATCGATTTAATGATTCGCGTAGATGACAGAAATACCCAGATAACTACTCGAGTACCTTCTGAGAAATAATGTGTGCATTATTTGTATTGGTTTAGAACAAACTGACTCAAACATATTATTTTATCGTTGCATTATTCTTTAATAAAATAATAAAACATTAAAGTACAGTATGCGGAAGTTAGGCGGCACCCACAGTGGAGTGGGGCGTCATTACAACGGAAAGGATCAATCTTAGGATTTCCCTGAATCGAAATTTAATTTGGAAAAAAATAATTGCAATGCATTAATGAACTGATATTCTTAACCAGCCCTATTCAATACCCACTGAAAAAGACTCCCTGACCCACTTAAGGGTCCCAACCGATCAGTTTAGAACCACATTAGCCCAACAGATGCTTTGTGCCCCCCTTTCTTTTTATCATGGTTTTATGTAACTTTGTTTAACTGTTAACCACCAACCTGTCAAGGGACTACAGGTGGAATTTAACCTGTGGTTATAATCTGGCCTATTTGTTTATGTCCTTTAATTTGCACTGTCCCTATTTTAAATACATAATAAATAAATAAATAAAGGTATCAGTGGGTGTGGCTGGGTTGTCATGGATTGGGAGCACTGGGCCCGGTGTTTCCAGTCCGTAAGAGCAGGCCTCACTTCTTCATGGTGGGAGAGACGGGGAGAAAGAGACTGACAGAGGCTGCTCCCCGATGCTCCTCTTGTCTTTTGTTGGATTTTCAACACAACACCCCTTACTCGTCATACTTTCACTCATCCATACACCCAAACCCAACCGATTAACTGACTCCACACCTCATAATGTTTGCTGACTTGGTTCATTAATGTAGTGGTGAATGAATGTAGGAGATTTTTGCGGGTAACTCCTTGTCTCCTCCCGTAACTCCTTGTCTCCTCCCGTCATTTGAGCCATTCGAGCCAGACAGTGAATTAAAAACACAAAGGTTTTTTTTGGTGATTATAACGTTTATTTTCACTCATTAAATACTAAATATGAGAGGAAATCATTAGCCTAGACATACATAAGTATAAGTATGTGGGTGAACTATTATGAAATCTGTCATGAGCGTACAAATATAATTGAATATTTAAATGACAAAGAAGCTGAAGAACAGAGAAGAAAGGAGGAAAAAAAGGTCTGGCATACTTGAGTCAGATCTAACCACCCTGCAGGACTATACAGCAGGGTCTTAAAATCTGATGGATTCTTAAACACATGATTTGATTTGTAGTTCGATTTGGATGAAAAGCAAGAAATAAACTTTACACACTTTTATTTAACAACACGAGAAAAGTCAAATATTTTTTCTTACGTCAACTACTGTTCACAGGTCATTTGTGCCGACATTCAGCACTCCTCCAAAAAATCAAACAAAGATGAGAGTTCAAATGAGAGTTGTTGATTCTGACTCCAGTGTTTGAAACTATCTACCTCATGTCAACTGTATACAAAGTCCTTCATGATGATTCTCGCTGCATATTGTTTGTATGTTTGTTAACAGCTGATGGAATTTAACCCTTTAAATGCCAATTCGATTAAATAAGTCTTAGTAATTTCTTCAACACCAGCTAACAGCTAGTCACATTTAGCTTGCCTATCATGTATGTTTACTCTTAAATCGCGTCTGATCGCACGAGATTATACTTTGTGGTAGTCGACACTCTGGTTGTCGGCAAATTAATCGTTAACTGTGTGGTGTGCTGAGTTGATCGTCTCGTTGCACACCACACACTATGAGATCTGAACAGTTAATCGGTCATGATGTCATGCGTGGGGTCTCACATTTAAAAAAATTGTTTAAGATTTTAAAAATCGTTTAGTGTGTGCCAGACATTAGGCACGGTGCGGATTGCCTGGTGTGAGTGTGCCCTAAGACTCGAGTGTTATGCAGAAGGAAGAAAGCTACAAGTCAATATTCACCCAGTTTCAGTTGGCATGGTTTTCTGTACAATCACAAGCAGAAACCAGACACTTGTGGTATAAAAGCAGAGAAACCGGACCAACTAGCGTTTGTTGGCAGAGTACAATAAAGATGACTTATCTTATCTTACTGCAGAGCAATCCTCAGAGAGAAACAGAGGGGTTTATAGGCATGATCAAATACAGGATCAAGTAGAATAAGAAACTTCACACACATGTTTTGGGGAGCTCTGAGACTAAGTCAGTTTGAGGATGATATGTGACTTCCAAAGAAAACAATGACTTTCAAGGCAATATTATATTTGTAATGTTGCAACCAGAATCACTTCATATTTGTATCTGTATATTTCTACATTATTTCTGTACTTTTGTTTCTTTTACAGTGATGCTCGATTGTTTTATTGCATGGCCATGTGGAACAATCAGTACATTTCACTGCCCATCTGTATGAGCATATGACACATACAAATCTTTAATTAAATGTTGTCACCTTTCGTTGCAGGTGGGAAAGTGAAGTGGCACCAAGGTTTGTGCCGTACAGATTCTCCCTGAGAAACACCAGCAACTTCCTCCAGGCGTCTTCCTGAGCGCGAGAATGTGCCACCATCTCCCCGCCCCACAGAGCCACCACTGCAGAGACAAAAAAAACAATTCTGAATCATTCAGGTACTCGCCATCCAGTATCACCAATATCACCAATATCTCGGTGTAACACTTGCACTTGGTGTAATACCAAACTAAGCTTTGACCAACAGGAGCCACCAAAGACTCTCAGTCATCTGCAAAAGCTTGATCTCTGCAGCCATAACTAGCCCTGAACAGCAGGCCTCGCTGAATCAGCCATGTGTTTATGTGTTTTTATGTGTTGTGTAATGTAAACTGATTTGTTTCTCTTGCTGTCAAACCTGTACAGTGCTGTGAAGAAGAATGTCCCCTCAGGACGATAAAGTCTAAGTCTCAGTAATCATTCAATGCGTCTCTGTAACGTCAGCAAAACAGTGCAAGAATCAACACACCCTTCTGACGTGAGCCGACTGTTACAAAGTTGGTGGCGCGAACGTGTGGCGTGTACGGAGGCTCAATCAGGTGTCCGGCGTTTGGGTACGACAGGACAGTCAGCAGGTGGCTATTCCCCGCTCGCTCCATCATCTCCTTTATCTGAAAGAACAGAGAGTAAACGCTTAACTTTAGAATTGTGAGAAGATTTCAAAATGCATTATCACACCCTTTATAGTGGAATCACTGTATCCCAAGATGCATTGGGAAAAGCAGTGTGTAACTGATGGTCACTATCCAAGCAATACCCTCATGCATTGGGGTGCAAAGCTTTGACGAGGAGATAGCAGCTCTCATTCATGGCAGACGGATGGGAGGAGTGCTCACCGAGTGAACCCAGAATCATAAAACAGTTCATATTTGTGTGTGTGCTTGGAGAGCGTGCATGCACCTTTATGTGTTGGGGGCAGCAACAAGTTAAACTCATTTTTACAGACTTTGTAAGTCTTGTATTTCTTTTTATAGTTGTGTTGTACAGGGGTGCCTCTACCTCATCCCCTAGTCCCTGCAGAGGGGGCCGGCTGATGGGGTCACCTCCTTCCGACCTCTCATGAGCCTTGAACAAAACCCAGACCCGATTGGGAGGGGCTCTGTTTTTTATCCTAAGCAAAATAAAAAATTGTTTCCATTCATACACATTGCTAGTGTTTGGTGTGAAGAGTACTGTCATGTACAAATGTACAAATATATTTTTGTCTCATTTTTGCTTTCACACAGAAAAGGGTCGTAAAACATTGATATTTAGTTGCGTATGGTTACTTTGCTTTAAACACTGCCTCTCCATTTACTCTCACCCCGTCGGCATCATGCAGGGATCAGCTGGTGGCTGCTTGACAGCCTGCTAACGTGACAGCCCGCTGCAGTCTGTTGCTCTAAACTTTTAGCCATACTCTGTTTCCATTTGAGAAGGTGACACGTGTACAACGATGTTTACATTTTTTGTTTACTCTTCCTTGTCATTACACTTAACACTGAAACAGAAAAGTCCCCACTCGACTGATTTGAAAAACAGCAGTGTTTCCTCATACTGCAGCCTCTCCTCACCGCTCGTCATGTGTGTAGTGCTGTCAGCTTCCCCAATTTTAGCGCATGGTAATTGGGTTTTTACTCGGTGGAGAGGGCTTTCCTTATTCAAGCGCATGGACTCACAGGCACACACAAACAGCCAATTCAAACAGAAATAATTTGCATGGAAACTTGTATGTTATACGGCAATTTACAAGCACGTATTGAACCGTGGATGCTGTATACCAAACAGTTCAATCTTTTATTGAGAATTGTTGCATTCCTATGCATAATCCATGTTTGTGGGTTATTATCCAGCCTTTGTACTCATTTTGATCAAGCTTTTAAACATTGTTTTTTTACGTCTTACAAATGACTTCGCTGTCACTGCTCAGTGTGACAGAAGTATGCAGGAAGGAGGAAGTTGTTGCAAGACGCTCCCATAAGAAAAGTATTCAAGTTATGATAACAAATGACTCACGTCCTTTGCAGACTCAGGGGCGGGAAAGTTCTGATCGTCCTCTCCAACAACCAGCATCAAAGGACACTTCAGTCGGCCCACCTGCCCAGAGAGAAACATTTCGGCTTTATCACCAGCTACAGTTATTAATGCACCACCTGTGGAGTCACCTACCTGTGGATGTATGAAACATTACTCATAGCTAGAAGGGATTTTTAAATACTGTATATACTGAGGTTATTAGTAATTACTTAATAATAATATTTCTCATTACTGTGATAAGAAAGAAAACACCTCTTTGTAAAAGAAAGAATAGCTTTAACTTCGTTATTAATTCGATTTTCATCCCATGGTTATGGCCGCAACCTTCCTGGTGTTACAGTTTAAGTGAGCACTTGGAGCACTCTGGTCTCAGGTATGTCTTGATCTCGGTTAGTTTGGTCTTGACTACATACAGGACATTAAATACAGCTACTGCCATCATGTGGCACAGGTATGTCACTACAAATACAGTTTTATTCAGAGGTAACATTTCTATATCAGCAGCGACTGAAAGAGGACTATAACAGTATTGCACTTTGAGTAGTCCGAAGACTAGAAAAGAAATATACAAGCTCAAGTCCATTTACCATTTAACTCAAACAATGCAACTAGTTTGTCCAATGTCAAATAAAATCTATCTATCTATCTATCTATCTATCTATCTATCTATCTATCTGTCTATGTATCTTGTAGCAGACCATTCCTTAAAATCCAAAGAATGGACAGAGAGAACCCCTGTCTGATGGGACTCACATCAACTTTGAAAGCGGGGTCAGTGGGGATAGGAAGCAGCAGATCTCGCCAGATTGTCTGGTTCTCCTCGTTGATGCGGGTATTTCCAGCATTTCTAATAGGATGAAGAAATCGTATTCAACTTCCCAAAACTCTTAATGATGAATTATGTTGACTTAACTCAGACTTTACATTTTTGAGAGTTAGGCACATGGCCCACACCAGATATCACATTCAGGTCAGGTTTGATCAGATGGTTCAGTAACTTACTTGATTAAGTAATCAAATATTTGTTTCACGGATCCATCTATTGGCTGCACGTGACTCCCACTGACAGACACGGCACAACTGAGCTGGAAAAAAAACATGGGATCATCAAAATTAATTTGAATCAACAAGAATTATCCAAGTTCTTCTTCTTACTCCCTCTGGGCCCGGTACGAGCTAAGAGATCTAGATATGGGGTTCTCTGCCTTTTGTTGTTTAAAACTAAATTCTTGTTTTATTTTAAAATAGCTTTCAGAGTATTTTTCCCTCAGTTGTTTTTATTTTTAAATATGTATTATGTTATTCCTTTAGTCCCCCTAGACATCATCGTAATAAGGCCATAACAACTCATTTCATGAAATCTGTGGTGACTATATATGGATTCAACATTTTTTATCTTTGGATCTAAGACCAGCCGTTTACCGGACTTTGCAGAATTTCATGTCCTCACATACAAACATCGTCCGTTCCTTTTTGCCACTCACTGAGTGTAGTGACTCCGCCTACCGTGATGTCACGCTGGCACAGTTTAAAGGACTTTTCTGCTCCAACCATGTACTCATCTGAACTGTTAGACTGACAGCTTAAACTTCCTTTATTAGAGAAGTAATCATTTGAAAGAACCCCTCAGCTTTGACAGTCTTACCTTTATAACTTCAGAGTAAACAGCAAATTTGAAGGTCATAACGGCGCCAAAAGAAATACCCAACATGGCGATCCTGCTGCCGAGGACCTGAGGATGCTGCTCCAGGACTTTATATGCCTTCTGCAGCAGGACACATGACAGAAAACTATCTGTTAAAATGGTAGGACTTAGACAAGGCTTCATGTGATACAGGAGGGAAATAATGCATTTATAATATGTAGAGTTACATGCTTTATTTTACATATGCATATAAATAAAGACTGTAGTAGCCTTTTTGCAGTAAGAAGCATTATGAATGTCTCTGCATGTCTTCTTTAAGTAAAACATTGCCTCAGTGGGTTCGATGATAAATCTGCTCATCCTTCCAACAGCCAATCAAAACTCTTCCTGCTGTCAGACTGTCGACCCAGTTATGATTTTATTATTTTACCACAGTAATCTAGAATAAAGTTAATCCCAGCAATGTTTAGTAGTATAGTTCATGTTGCATCATATAACACAAAGACATCTTAGTCTATCCAGCTCGTTTTGAAGGAGACTGAACCTCTGAACCAAATCTTAATGATTTATTGACAGAAAACACACACGCACACACAGATAACGCACACTGACCCCAGTCTCCACTGACGCAACACATGTCATGCATGTTTCCTAACATGCAATTTAACAGTTATTAATGACACGGTTAGTTTCCTTATTGTACCCCTATAGGTACATTTGGCTGGCACTGAGTCAGTCTGTCTCCTTTTTACGCACATAAAAATTATGTCCTATCGTAGAATAAATTGTTATCCAAAGTCTGGGGAAAAAAATCAGTTAAGTGATGTTGTTTAACTGAAATGTGAATATGAAGCAATGAGCGCAATAAAACACAACCACAAAACTTTCCACTGTCAGACGACTATAGGAGAATTCTGACCAATCCGGTTGGACTATGTAAATCCTTAGTCGGGGATAGGCCTAGTGAACACAAATCATCATGCAAGAATAGTTTGCCCTCTGGGAGACCCCCCCAAAAAGAGACTGTGTCTTAACATTGCAGTGTGATTTATAGTCTGGATTATTTACAACAACAAAAATGTTAAATGTATAATTTAGACACTCACCTCAAAATATTCATTTTCAACCATCTTCCCGGTTTCCACGGTGATTTTCGGAGTCAGGTAGTCGAGAGCCAGGGCAGCAATACCATGGGAGGCTAGAAGAGATGCACGGCTCTCCACCAACTGCCCTCCACCCCCCCACAGGTCAATGAGAGCGGGGAAAGGTCCCGGTCCTTCATACAAGACAACATACCAAAAAGACTGTCAGTGATCGTTGGTGTGAATGTCCTACCTTCCTCCAGATTCATCACTCGTCCTACCTGAGGGCAGGAAGAGGGTCGCAGTGAGTCCCTCCTCTGTGATCGGGACTCTGCGGACACCGGGTGCCATGTACCAGCGCTCTACAACCACACCGGCCAGTGGCGCCTGATCTGTAAAGCCCTCTGTCTGGTGACCCTGGTACACAGAGATGGTGACCTCCATGGGAGTCTGGACGTTCATCTTCCTCATCCTGAGGGGCAATAAGAATGATTAAACTCTGATAATGATATTCAATTTTTAATAGATTTTTTCTAATTTTCCTACCTGAGCCAAGGTTTGTTGCCCGGCACTGGTCTGAGGCTCCAAAGGAGACCCATCTGTTCAACCCCAGAGTATGTCCCTCCAAGACTGGGATCCTCTGAAACTGTAGAGTGAAAGGTATAAAAATAATTATAACCTCAGGTCATTCAACATTCCAAAAGTGTATTGTTTTAGGGCTGTGTGCAATAAGTGCACAAAACAGCTAAACATCACCCATGTCAGTCAGCACCAGAGTTACTTGTACTGTGCCAAAGGTCGTTCGGGCCAGTTTGTTTGACTAGTGGAACCGCTTCGTACCTCGCTAAAGCACGTTTGAGTGTTTGCTCTACCTTCCTCCGTCCAAATTCGGCTTAAAGATTAATTGAAATTACGTCTTTTGAATTGACCGGGGCTGGAAGTTATTCTCAAATCATTCGCTTAAATAACCGTAATAAAAAAACTTTGTACTCATAAAGTACACACACAAAAATCTACACACCTAAGTCAATCATCACATATAGTCCATCTGATGCCCAACGCACATCCTTTGGATTACATCTTCACACACTGAAGACACTTTTTCACATAGCTGCATAAAACTGCTGAAATTAATCTGTGAAGGTCATGTTTTATGTGTTGCGTTCATAATTCATTAGATTTTATTCCTATTTTGACTCTTTGTCTACCATTTGACAAGTCGATAGAGATGCACCGATCCATTTTTTTATTCCTTTCCAATCCGATTCCAATACTGGCTGATATTTTTATCAATATAAATAATAATGTTATTGTTTTTGTTGGTATTATGGTATTTCTGGCTAAGTTTGAGCATAGACAATTTAATAAAATTATCAATCTTAACATATTTAAAACATGGGGAAAAAACATATGGGGGAAAAAATCATGGAGTGCATGAAAGCATTTGCAGCATAAAAGGGTAAAAACAGTCTCTATAAGCCTGACTGTCATTTTTTTTCAAAACCTGCCAACATCTGCTACGGCTTGAATAGTCCAGGTGTAGATTTTGAGTCATGTACCGTTCACAGTCCCTGTGTTATTGGCGGTGTAGTGAGCGAACGCCTCCCAGTCGTGTCCATCTTCACTGTGGTGGAGGGCGTGTACGGTCACCTGGAATCCAGGCGGCGTGTTCTGAACCAAGATGCTGAATTTCTCATCCACAAGTCCTCTGGAGGGCTGGACGGACAGCTTCACACAACACGGATTCTTCTGCATCCTGATGCTGTGAACTCCTGAAATAATCATAAACCAAACCTGAATGCCAAACTGCTTTCACGCCTCAGATTTAAAAGGTGGTGCGTCTTCAATTTCAAAATCTCACTCTGCAGCTGCAAACCGCCTCTGCTCTACAGCTGCTGATGCTCACAATATCATTTTGCATGAAATACAAGTTACTTATGTTACGCTGTTTTAGAGAAGTTCATTTGTATTTTAAAACTAAAATGTGTCGCTTTCATTTCAAGCAATGCTTTGATTTCAGTTCGAAATATTCGATAAATAACCACAAAATAGTTAACCAGATATGCACTCTTTCACCTGAAAACATATCCCAGCTTTAATAGTTGAGCATATTTACAGTAGAGACCATGTCAGTAAACTATGAGGGCAAAAAACAAAAAGGAAATAACCGTGTATTAATCGTAATCGAGGTCAAATGTTAAATTAATAGTGAAGTTAATTTACCTTGAAGCTGTCGTTCTTCAGGTGTGTGTCGTTTCTACCTCTGGGGTGTTCAAATCGTCACAGAGTCCGTGAACCCGTCACTGAATCTGTGTCGTTAAAAACTCGACAGAAAGGTGAAGGGACCCTTAAACGAGATCCACTGAGTCTAAAGTTCAGTTTTACTCTCCTCCCACAGCAACATCACAGTCAGCGGACACACGATGGCGCCATCGAGTCGCAGAAACTCAACTTTCTGCAGGTTTTAAGTTTTAATGTCTCCAGTGGACTTCGTGAGAAACAGAATTGAGGCTATTGAATTTCCTTTCCAAATGCGTTGACAAGAACATACGGCATGATAGTTTACAACCTTTAAATATTCAGCTTCTGCATTGAAAAGCTGGCAGACAACTCTTCCTTTTCTTTTTCTTCTTTATGTACTTTTGGCGGATTGCGTTCACAATTTAAAGGTGCATACCGCCAACTACTGTACCGGAGTATATAGACGGTATCCAGTTTCACTAGATTACTAAACAAATATAATAAATGAATTGAAACAAAATAGTGAGGAAATAAATGAGGAAATAAATAACATATATATCCATGTCCTATCTATGTCTATTAACATATAGGCTATACATATAGATTTTCTTTTCTTTTTAATAAATGAGCTGCTATATGACTCCTAATCTCCCACATTTTATCCTTGTTTGTTTACACATTGCATAGTCCTTTATAGCATCACAAATGTACATATCCGATTCACATTTGTTCAGGGTGTGGATTATTGTGTGACGTGTGCTAAAATTATATTTGATAATAAGATATTATTTGCTTTTTCAGTCTTGTGATTATTTGTGACTCTGTTTCCCATTTCTTTCCTCTTGTCTTTGACTTCCGTTTTTCTGATATCTCCTTAATCCCTCGGGTTCTACCAAATGTCTCACATTTACGCTGACTGACTACTTATTCTAACAAAGGTATTTGCATGATAACCTCGCAATAGCAATGATTTAAGGTCTTTTTTTTTTTTGGAAATAAATGGCACAATACATCTCAAAGTAATTAGACCACAAATACCCATCTAATTTTATCCCAGAATGCCTGACCTGAAAATATGTTGTAAATTTTCTTTACAACGCATCCGTTTTGATTTGATGAAGTATCAGCGTAATTCACAATGAGGCGCAGAGGCTTAAAACCCGCCTCAGCTCCAGCTCTCAGCCTGTCGTTAGGTTGACTTAAAGCTAGGCTGTTACAGCATTTCCTACATGCGGCCGTCACCGATGAGCCTCCAGAGCCCCCTGCAGGAACAGATGGGTGACGTCCATTAATATTAACAGTCTATGCTGAAAACCCATGACCAAAATAGTACTAAACTATTTTTACCACTGTCACTCTACTGCTTAATGATGTGAAGGCCTACTCTGAATATACACCACCTGTGTGTTATCTCAGTACACACAGGTACATTCAATGAGTCAAGCTTCCCTATGTCATGTTTTTCTCCCCTCATAATTCATTAACCATGAATGTTTAATTATGATCGGAGTTACACCTCAGCATTTTCTGGTGTGTGACTTACAAGAAACAAAACGAGAAAAAGTATCCGATAATTAATTTACCGGACAATAAGAATGAAGAGCAATCATGTTACAGATTAAAAGGGACAACACATCCGAACAGAGGACATTTGTATGAATAAATTAATAAATGATTTAGATGCCAATGAAAGAAAGTGTCAGCCTCGTGTCTCCAGATGAACCAACTCACCCTCTGACCTTTGACCTATCCAGAGAATGGCGGAGGGGTTGTGGGGGAGGGAGGGGTTGTGTGTGTGTGTGTGTGTGTGTGGGGGGGGGGCTAGTTGTTAACCAACTGATTGCACAACAACAAAGTGCGGCCCTTTGGTTGTTTGTCAGGACTGAAACATCCATCTGTCCCTTTGGGGCCCTCTGACTTTTGCGAGGGGCAAGAGAAGGGTCTGCTTCTCTGTTCTTGGAGCAACGCGGAGATATTCTCAGAAATCGCCTCAATGAAGAAACGTAGTTGTAAGTAGACTCGTGGTTTACTGAAATAAGTTTGTCTTGGTGTTTTGGTGCAAAAACACTGAGCACAGAAGCAGAACAGAAAACAAAATAAAGCTATTTAACAGCGCGACAAACACTGTCAAAGAACTTAAATGTAAGCTGTTTCACATTGTAAAAACTCAAATCTAAAGCAAGTGAATTTGTCTCAGGACTTCTCATTAAACTTCTCATGAGCCACATTTACCTGATCTTATTTCAAGATATAACAAGGGGAAAAAAATTAAGGCCTGGATTGGAAGATTTATTTTTGTGCTTTTTATGCCTCCACTGGAGACACAGGACAGCGGACAGAGTCAGAAGCCGGAGAGAGGAGAGAGAGAGAGAGAGAGAGAGCGAGAACAGGGAATTACATGCAGGAAAGGAGCCGCAGCCAGTCCACTTTTTTATGGCTTCTTACCAAACACCCAACATTCATGTCTTTTGGCTTTGTTTCTGCATAACATCAACATGGCAGGTACTGAGAGTTTAAAAAGATGCTCTGAGTTGTTGTTCTCGTTTTTAGGGAAGTTCATATTACATTTTACGTATCACTCCTTGCAAAGCACTCAGAGGTAAACAAGCCTAGCTCCAAATGAAATACCTGCTGTCCACCTACACAATCAGCAAAAGGAGATTTTTTTTTTTACATTTTTGATTGGCTATATTTAACTGCTTGCCTTTCTGAAATAAACCAGTCCAGAAGAAGAAGAAACTCAAACTGTTTATATTCTTTATGGTTTTTCTCACCACATGTTTCTTTAAAACAGAACACACTCTGATGATAAATTGGCCTCAGCCACCAGCAGCCTCCTGAATGCTACGATGCTAATGATGCTAATAACAACTCAATGTGAAAAAACATATTGAGACAGGTTAAGAGGTCAAAGGTCAGCTGTCTTCCGCCTGGTGAGAAATGGCTTGAGTCACGCCTCGACGCCGCCTCACTGGCTGTCCTCACACAAACACCCACACACACACACACACACACACACACACACACACACACACACACACACACACACACACACACACACACACACACACACACACGCACACACACACACACACACACACACACACACACTCGCACACACACACACACACACACACACACACAGCCACACACACACACACAGCCACACACACACACACACACACACACCACACACACACACACACACACACACACACACACACACACACACACACACACACACACACACACACAGCCACACACACACACCCACACACTCTTTAAATCACCCCCCACAGAGACTGGTTAAGGGAAGCAGACTGAAATGTTCAGCTTTTAAACATATTCATACATTTAATATTCATGGGTGTCACATATCATTGTCTCCTTATTCTGACGGGGGAGGGGTGTTGAGGGGTGGTGTGGGGGGAGTCTCATTCACAGACACAAAAGAGGGGGCACATGTTACCTTAAAGGCTGTGACTGCTGGCTTGTTTTGACTCAAATGGGACTCTTTTTGTAAGAACAGAAATGTAACTTAAGGGAGAGTACTTGGACTCAGATTCATTTCAGGCAGCTTCTCAAATTTACACATTTTCTGAAGATTTTCTGTAATTGTAAAACAAAAGGTGATCGTGTTTTTGTCGTCTTAGCCCCCCACTCTCTGGAATCAACTCCAAAAACCATCAGATCTGCAGAAATTTTTGGACTGCCTCAAGAAGCTTCTTAAAACTCACCTGCACAGACGAACCATTTCTTGGGCCTAGATTGTTTCTGTGTTTGCCCTCTTGACATTGTGATTTATTTACTGCAAAAATTAAACTAATAGCCCATGGCTTTTATTTACATCAGTCTATAAAATTACCCTTCCTGTTCTTTGGTGTCTATTTAACAGAGTCTCAGTCCTGCAGCTCTGCCCTGCACTTCCTGCTCTGTCCTGCAGGGGGCAGTAGGAACTTTATGTCCTGATGAGGATCAGAGGGTTCAGGCAGCATGGTCGACTCCGTTTTTCTCACCTTTATGTTTACATATTACGCGTGTGCGTGCGTGTGTGTGTGCGTGCGTGTGTGAGTGTGTGTGTATGTGCGTGTGTTTCTCCGAGGACAGGTTGATGCTGAGGCAGCAGAGAGGTGAACAGAGGACACGCTGGCTCTAAGTCCTGATTCACACAGACACAAAGTAATATATCTGTCTTTAGCAGAGGTAGAGGAGCTTCGGGGAATTATTTTCAATAGATAGAATCACAAAATCTGCACTCATGTAACTCTATGAGAGAGAAAATGTAAAGCTGGATTTGAGAAAAATGCGGAAAAGAGGAGAGGGAGAAGGATGGATTTAATTCAAATGTAGCAGCATAGTCCTTGTGTGTTTTGTTACCCTGAGTTCTCTTTTGGCCTGTAGTGTTTCCTGTTTTATTTTGTACTTCTTGTCCTCAGCATGAGATGTTGGTGTCAGTTCATTTATAAAAATAATGGGGATGAACGCAGGCTGGAAAGGCCCCCCTGTGAATTTTTGTCTTTAGGTCCCCAACAGACAATCACCACTACACACACACACACACACACACACACACACACACACACACATCACTGATTCCCCTTAAAGCCACGTTTGTGTCAAGAAGACTAACTTGATGGTGCCTCTCTCCGCGCTCTATAAATAGTCTCTTCTTCGTCCCCTGTGAGAGAAAAACGACCATTTAAGGACTCAAACTCTGAACTGTGCACGCTGCCAGTTATGAGACAACGCTGGTCTTTGTGTCAGTCAGTGATGAAGCTGGTGGGGGCTGGGCCGTATCTCCTGATGGATTAGCCTCTTTACTTCTAATTCATGGCCGTACAGAGCAGAGTAACCCCCCCCCCCGTCTTGTGTTTTATACGTCTTGCATTAAACTGAAGACAGAGACAGAGGAGATGCTCATCTGTAGATATGCAATAACTAAAAATGTAATCAAGATTCATGAGAATTAGATAATAAAAAATACAACGTTTAAGACAAAAACAAAAAGGTTTTTCAAGCTTTTATTTTGGGATGATCACACAGACAGACTTTTGTTCATGTCTCTGGGGGATGTCAGTTTGAGAAGAGTTTGGATCGTCATGTCTGCCTCAAAAGTCAATCGATGCTG